GAGGAGAGATCCTTTCCAAGAGCACACTGCAGCAACCTGCTTCTTCCACTACTGTCCCCACCTGTCTACAGGTTCCATCTCCTTCCACAGTCCATTCCAATTATTTTTTCAAAAATATGTACACTTTTTAGTTGTAGGTGGATACAATACCTTTATTTCATCTGTAGGTGGTGCTGAGGATTGAACCCAGTGCCTCACTCATGCTAGGCGAGCGCTCTACCTCTGAGTCACAACCCTAGCCCCCATTCCAATTATAATCCATGAAATGGATTAATCCACTTTATGAATTTAGAGCCCCCATGTTACAGTCACATCCTCTGGACACTGCTGTGTTGGGGACCAAGCCGTCAACACTTTGGAAGGCACTCCAGATCCGATTCAGAGCAGGTGTCTTTTCCCAAATGGTCAATTCAAATGTCCAATTCGAAATCTGATGGTTCTGAACCAGGAAAGCCAGAAAAAAAATCAAAGCAAATTGCTAGGGACATTCTTCAGTCTTCCTCGGATTTCTGGACCCCCTTTTTCGGCACTGAATCCAGGGACACTTACCCACTAAGCCACATTCCCAACCCTTTTTTGTATTTTATTTAGAGACAGGGTCTCGCTTAGTTATCTAGGGCCTCTTTAAGTTGCTGAGGCTGGCTTTGAACTCCCAATCCTCCTGCCTCAGCCTCTTGAGCCCCTGATTAGTGTGCATCATCTGGCTGTTCTAGGCATTTTTTTTTTTTTGGTTCTAATCAGTTATACATGATAGCAGCATGCATTTCAATTCATTGAACACAAATGCAACACAACTTTTCATTTCTCTGGTTGTACAGGATGTAGAGTTGCACCACATGTGCAGTCATACATATACCTAGGGTAATGATGTTCATTTCATTCCACCATCTTTCCTACCCTCATTCCCCCTCCCCTTTGCCCAAAGTTCCTTCATTCTCCCCACGCCTCACTCCCCTGCTCTGGGCCTTTCTTACCAGAGATTTATGAATCTCCGAAGACTTATCATAATTGTACCAAGACACAATGCATCTGTAAATTAAGTGGGATTAATTTTCTCTGAATCTAAATTGTTCTCTTTTTTTTGGTATGGGGGAATTGAACCCAGAGATGCTCTAAAACTGAGCTACATCCCCAGCCTCTTTTATTTTTGAGACAGTATCTTGCTAAATTGCCCTGGCTGCCCTGAATTTGCAACAACGCTCCTGCCTCAGCCTCTCAGAATCACTGGGAATATAGGGGCATGGCACAAGTTTTCTAATAATTATTAGCTAAGTGATCCATTTCTTGGTATGTGTAGTTCTAAAACTACAGTTTTAATATTCTAGAAAACACAGTGAAATCTAATGTACTATGGACTTTGGGGATACTAACTTGTCAAATTTGGGCTCATGGATTGTGAGGCAGGACATAAAATAGTGGGGAACGACAGGGGATCTACGGGAGATCTCTATCTTCCTCTCAATTCTGCTGTGAACCTAACACTGCCATTAAAAATTTTATTAAAAAAAAAGTGCCAAACTGTGCATCTTGTAAATTCTTTTGTGTGATTTAGTTGAAACACGCACTATTAATACATACTAAAGATTGCCCGTCTTTTAAAAATGAAGTCTTGCACGTTATTTTGTTTTCCTACATTTTATTATGCAGTATGAGGAATAACATATACCCTTTAGATAAAAAGCTCTGTTGGGGGCTAGGGATACAGTTCAGTTGGTAGAGTGCTTGCCTGCCATGCATGAGGCCCTGGGTTTGATCCTCAGCAACACATATAAACAAATAAATAAAATAAAAAATCCATCAATAAATAAAAAATATTTTTTAAAAAAACTGCAGCCTTGGGCTGGGATTGTGGCTCAGTTGTATTGCGCTCGCCTAGCACAGGCGGGGCCCGGGTTCGATCCTCAACACCACATAAAAACAAAGGTATTTTGTTGTGTCCATCTACACCTAAAAAATAAATATTAAAAAAACTGCAGCCAAATGATCAACAATTGAAATGAAAAATTTACTAAAAGTGCTAAACAATAGATTTGATCAGAGATGAAGGAAACAGCAAATTGGTGGAGGTACTGGTGATTGAACTGGGTGCTATACTTCTGAGCTACACTCTCAGGCCTTTTTATTTTAAGACAGGGTCTCACTAAGTTGCTCAGGCTGTCTTGGAACTTGTGATCCTCCTTCCTTAGTCTCCCTAGTGCTGGGGTTATAGGTGTGGTTACCGTGCCAGCAAAATTATTTACACCATTAATTCACCACATGTATAGTGGAAAGGACAAGAAAGAAAGATGTTAAAGAAACAATGAGATAACATTTCATGCCTGGTACGGTGGTTCACCTCCATGTATAGCCATACAGTGTTCGAACTGACTTCATTTGGAAATATGATCCTCATGGGTGTATTTAAAGCCTTCAAAATGAGATCGTCCTGCAAAATCATGGAATTTGCAGGGATATGGATGGCATTAGAGCAGATTATGCTTAGTGAAGCTAGCCAATCCCTAAAAAACAAATGCCAAATGTCTTATTTGATATAAGGAGAGCAACTAAAAACAGAGCAGGGAGGAAGAGCATGAGAAAAAGATTAACATTAAACAGGGATGAGAGGTAGGAGGGAAAGGGAGAGAGAAGGGAAATTACATGGAAATGGAAGGAGACCCTTATTGTTATACAAAATTACATATAAGAGGAAGTGAGGGGAAAGGGAAAAAAAATCAAGGGAGAGAAATGAATTACAGTAGATGGGGTAGAGAGAGAAGATGGGAGGGGAGGGAAGGGGGGATAGTGGAGGATAGGAAGGGCAGCAGAACACAACAGACACTAGTATGGCAGTATGTAAAAACATGGATGTGTAACCGATGTGATTCTGCAATCTGTATACGGGGTAAAAATGGGAGTTCATAACCCACTTGAATCAAATGTATGAAATATTATATGTCAAGAGCTTTGTAATGTTTTGAACAACCAATAAAATAAATAAATAAAAATTTAAAAAAAGAATACAACAAAAATGCAAAATGAAAATAAAAAATAAAACAAAATGAGATCGTCCTGGATTTAGAGTGGGTCCTGAACCCTGCCATACGTGCTTTTTGTTTGTTTGTTTTAAGTTGTCCATGGATCTTTATTTATTTGTATGTGGTGCTGAGGATCAAACCCAGTGCCTCACATATGCTAGGCAAGTGCTCTACCGCTGAGCCACAATTTCAGCACCACACGAGTCTTTAAAGGAGACACAAAACTGCACCCGAGGACAGAGCACAGTCCAGCAGTGCCTGGAGCCATAAGCATTGAAGAGGCAGAGGGGTCTGGGAAGAAGCACGGCTGTGGGGCACCTGCATCTGGACTCCGCCTCCAGAACAGCAAGTGTCTGTTGCTCTCAGATATTGATTTTGTGATTTGTTAGCAGAATCAGAGGAAACTGAGGCAATGGCTAAACTGGAAACTGCAAGATTCTGAACACATTCCCACATCACAGAGCACAGCCTCAGAACACACTAACACAGAAACAGGCTCAGCTCCAGAACACAGTAGCATGGGAGAGTACAGAGAGTATAACTACTGAGTAAACAGGAAGCCTGAGTGCATGTTGATTAGACAACTGAGTAAAATTAATGTGGGAATTTATCAGGACTGGGGGGAAATGACTTTACACTGGGGAGGCTGGCAGACATCACCTTCATGGGCCACTAATATGATGGTGTCAGGAGCCGGCATCCCATGGCAGAGAAGCTGTTCCCACCAAAGACACAAGTGCAGCCTGACTCTGACCTGAGAAGTATCAGGCAGACCAAGTTGAGGGGCTGTCCACCAGATAAGGGGCTATACCCTCAAACAGAGTCCTGTCAGCTTAAGGATGCAGGGACAGGTTTCAGAGCAGGGAGAGGGCAAGGGCACAGGGTAAGAGCATCACCAGGGCAGGAGACAATCCTCAGGGGCTGAGACTAGAGAACACCAGGTTCAATTCCTATCTGCCAGTGTCACAGGCAGTTCCTAATGGTAGCTGCTGGCTGCTACTGGTTATGACTAGTAACTGATGACTGTTACTAGTTACTGTGGGGAGCTGCAGGTTGTCACTGTGATGCATTCCTTCATTCAAGGGAGGAAACACACACACAAACAACTTGGGCCAGTTCAACACGTGTTCCTAGCTGAGGCTCAGCAAGATAACTCTATATTCTCATTTTAGCTCATATTGCAAAAAAGCATATTTTCAACAATCTAAGCACCACGTTCAGCACATTTTTGCATCTTCTGCTGGTGATTTTGCTGTTCAAAATGAACCAAAACATAATTTACAAGGTAGAGCACATGTGTTTTCTCTTTTGACAAAGAGTAAAACAAGTCTTCACCTTACATCTGATGAAAGAAATTAAGCACAACAGATAAGCTGTCTGGAAACTTGTCCAGAGTCACAGGTTCCCTGGAAGGCAGAGATCAGGCCCGCTGGACACTCAGACAGGTTTTAGAAAGAGCAACAGCTGGTGGCTGGGGCTGTGGCTCGGCAGTAGAGCGCTCACCTAGCATTTGCGAGGCCCTGGGTTTGATCCTCAGCACCACATAAAAATAAATAAACAAAATAAAGGTATTGTGTCCAACTACAACTAAAAAACAAATATTTAAAAAAAAAAAAAAAAAGAACAAAGAAAGAAAGAAAGAGCACCAGGTGGACAGAGGTGCTGAGATGGAAAGCGTCAGCACCTCAGGGCTGGCTGGAATTCAGGTACGGCAGGAGTCACCAAGAGCCCTCCAAACTCACCTACACATGCTTCCTGCTCAAGGCTTTAACCAGCAGGTGGAAACGATAGCTTAAAGCACAGCCAGAGAATAGAGCACAGCCAGAGGATGTGGCACTGGGCACCAGCGCTTGCTGGGCAGGTCTGCAGAGGTGGACCTGCAGGCTCTGACCCTAGCCTTTGCACTGCTACATCCAGCTCTGTGGTTGGCTGTGCCTGCACCAGTGTTTGAGATATAATCTCTTTGTCTTCACGTTTGTACAGGACTCACTGGTAAGATAATCATGTATTTTTTTGATCACACGGTATTGGAGAAAACAAATGACTTTTGTGTAGGACACTGTGTTTAGATACATGGAAAAGTTACCACAAGCCAAACAGCAGGAAAGGGACACCACCACCCAAAGCTTCAGCTCCATGGACTGTCTGAAGAGCAGAACATGTGCCTCTCAGGCACTGGCTCCTCTCCCACAGGCGTGGTGAGGCAGCCTGCAGCCTAAAGCCTAACCCTGCCCCTGCCCTGTTCTGCCACAGGGGCCCTGCTCTGCCCCTTCGTCCCCAGAGTCTGCCCCCCACTCCTGCTCTGCTTCATGGGTCTGACATTCACACCCTAGAGTGTAGTCCTTGTCCTCATCCTCATCCTCTCCCAGCAGGAAACTCTTGGGGGAGCTGATCTTGTCCTGGCAGGACAGGGTCTTCCTCCTCCTCCTCCTCACCAGCTGTGTGGGCTCAGCCCCCTGCTCTTGCCCCCGCAATGCCAGGCTCAGGAGTCCTCTCTCCTTCCTCCGTTTGTACTCCATTATTTGCTTGCTGAGTGCCTCATGATCGATCCCACACAGACTTGAGCATGAAGCAGGTCCTGGGGCATCATGTGGTGATAGGGCATCAGGGTCCCTGAAGGAGAAGAGGAACCTTCATACCAAGCATAAGCCACGCCATGACCACAGTCTTCAGTATAAAATGCTACTGGGGGCATGTCCTACACCTGCCCACATATGCACCTCCTGGACAAGGATGTGGAAGGGATTTCTGGATTTCAGAACCAGTGGCCAGCATAGTCCCGATGCCACTGGGTACCATCATGAGTACATTAAGCATGGCAGGAACAGCAGGCAGTTGAACAGAATCACAGGTGGGCCTACAGGTGCAGTAACTCAGGTCAGTGACACACCAAACGTCACAACCTGACTGCAGTCACATCACCCTCTCACTCGTCAGCACTGAACCCTGGAGGCTCTCTGGCCTGCCTCTTCCCCACGCTGGCTCCTTGATGGTCAGGATGTGCAGGCTGGGTGACATGGAGCCGTGCCACTAGCTCCTGTAGGCTGGTTCAACCCAGACTTACTGCTGGGCCCTGCAGTCCCTGAAGCACCAAAAATGCAGATGCTGCTCCTATCTAGGCCAGCCCCTCCACAAACACCCCTGTTCCCAGGCTTGTGACCAGACTGTGTTGTTCCTCAGAGGTGTACCTGCACCCCCACCAGCCATGCAAATCCACTTAGCCATGCAAATCCACTTTCCTGCATCCTTCCTCATCAGTAATGATCACTGCATCCTCGGCCTCCCCCAGCCGGCCCCACCCACAGCACAGCAGGGTAGCATCTGAGAGCTATGACAAGGCCTGGCATACTGCATGCACCCAGTTAAAGTGCACTAAGCCAGGGCTGAGGTCGAAGCTCTGTGGCAGAGCACTTGCCTAGCACATGTGAGGCACAGATTGGATCCTCAGCACCACATAAAAATAAATAAATAAGGAGGGCTGGTATTGTAACTCAGTGGTAGAGCGCCTGTCCAGCATGAGTGAGGCATTGGGTTCAATTTTCAGCATCACATATAAAAAAATAAAATAAAGGTCCATTGATAACTAAAAAAAAACCCAATTTAAATAATTAATCAGATAAAAGTTAAAAAAATGCACATAATATTTAAAAAATGTTTAAAAGTGCACTGAGCCAACCAGGAAGCCAAGACAATGTGGCCATCTCCCAGTGGACGAAGCCTCACAGACCCACAGGGCCTCACCATGTGCCTGCAGATCACTGCCTGTGGATGCCTGGGCCCCAGGGCCAAGTACCAAGGGGCAACATGGGCTAGTGGGACACAGATCACACACTCATCCTGTGCCTGGTGATCTGCCCCAGGGAATGGAAACACATCCCCACACATCACCTGGGATCATCTCCTAGGGGGTGGTCTCCTTCGTCTGGAGGTCCAAACTCGGCCACTGCCAGTAAACCATCAATCTGAAAAGGAGCACCACAGTGGTAGGTCACGACCCATCCCCCTCCCCCATCCCCACCCCCTTTACCGTCTCCCCCTCCCCCACACAGGAAGCACTGGAGCTGGGACAAGCCTAAAGTGCACACAGGCAGCCTTGGCCCACACCGCCCATCCTCATAAACAGTCATAGGCCACACTTCCCATCCACACTGGGAAGGGGGCAGAAACACCTGCTGTCCTCAGGCATAAGGCCAACCATGGGCCTCCTGGGTGGACTTCATCTGCCCTTTTGTAGATCTCTCTGCTCTGGGGTTGTGCAACAGCCTGAGCTTGCAGCTGCCTTGGTGCTATTCTCACATGGCACCTCTCTCTGACAATGAACTGAGACTTATGTGAAACTTACAGACGTTCGAAACCCATTAAACGACGATTAAAGAACTAATATTTACTAGTTTCTACTGTAGTTTCATAAAATGCTTCCCTGTGGCCACAGAATTTGTGTGCTTTAGGGGAGAAAAAGCCTCTGGCAAGGCCAGACAGCAGGTGCTAGGAAGGCTGCAGTCAAGCTGCAGAGGCAGGAGCTCTGCAGGGCAAGGAACCTGAGCAGGAACACAGCAGCAGCAACCAGGAGGCAGACTGCTACGCACACAGGACATCACCCACACACCTTGCTGGACTCTGCCCTGGCTGTTCCAGGGGCCCATCTGGGATCTGCACTTCCATCCTCTAGTGGCAGTAGCCCACTCCAGGCATAGCTGCGCCTTCCCTCCTCCAGAGATGTGTTGGGAGGAACCTGTGGAACCTGCCTCCCCAGGGACTACAGGAGCTACAGGTGAGAGGTTTAGCTTGGGGCTGCATGGCCAGTTGCCCTGGTGGCCTCAGCACTTGCACAGTTGAGCTCTCTGCCCCAGTGCCTGGCAAGGACTAATGTCCCTGCTGCTGCTTCTAAGTGGGGACATCCCTCCACTGTCAGGGTCACTACCTGCACAATGTTTCCTATGTTATCTGTCATGAGTAACAAAAGACACACATGTCAAACTAGATCCTTTCCTTCTGTGAAGCTAAATCCTCTCTGGTTGTCCAGTGGATGACAGTTATCCAGGAAAAACACTAAACTTGTTATTTGCTGATTCTTGGTAGACTTAAGTTATAACATACTTTAACTTCCAGTTTCAATCTTTGTAACAAAACTCCTCTAAAGCAAAGAAAATGGTGGTTAAATACTTAGGTCAGAAAGTGAATTCTACAACCTCAGGTTAGGTGGGGAGGTGGTGAGAGGCGAGGCAAGCACACAGGGCAGCTCTGGCCACCTTAAGTTCATACACTGAGAAACAGCACTCTGGGTCACTGGTCAGAGTTCCATTGATGAGCAAAGACTTAGAACCAGAAAAGGGGTTACACTGTGGTTGCCACTGCAAACGGGGTTAAAGGCCTTCCTTAAAAAACTCCTTCCCAGAGTTTTTAAAACATTATCTATTGAGTATTTAAAAATGAACAAATTTAAAATCCTATTCATATAAGTTTATATCATAAAAGGGCAATTATTCATAAGCCTCACCTCTGCCAGAGCTGCGTTTTTTCTGTCTTGAATGAACACTATTGGCGGCACATTCCTCAGGGTCTGCTGGGACATCAACAGGTGTCTAAGGAGAGGAGACAGTGAGACTCTGGGCTCCACCTGGACACCTAGTGGAGCGGGTAGGTGCTCAACATAAGCTATGTGGGAATCCCAAATATGAAAATTAGACCAGCACACAGAGTAGATGGGGCAGGGCAGGGAGCCCAGGACTTGGAGGCTAGCCTGGATAAGGTAGCAAGACAATTTCAAGGGAAAAAAACCCAGATGAAAAAGTTTCTGTACTGAGCTGCCTATTACAAAAGGGTGCAGAATGCACTATAACCAATTCCTCCAACACATCAGAGAGCCAATGAGCACCAATCTGAACACAGAATCTTCTGTGGCCCTGGCAGCCTGTCTTGCACTCAGTGGACAATCCCTGGCATGGCTCCACCCTCATGTCCTAGATGCTGGAGAAAAATGGTCTCTGCATGGCTGTCATGAGATACAAACATGTGCCAAGCTAGGTGTGGCACACACATCCAACTCAGCAGCAGCACAGAATCCAAGACACCAACCAGCAAGGGCCTCTGCAGCTGACCACACAGCAGTCTCTGGCATGACAACAGAGAGATCTGCCTACAGAGTCTGCAGCCTTGTACACTGGTCACCTGCATAGCAAGTGACCCAGAGTTTCAGAACACTGATGCATTCTCTCAGAACCAACTGGAGCACCTGGAAGCCATGAGCTCAGTGGTGGATGCTGATTTTTCTAAGTCTGATTTTCAATTGAAAGGTTGCACGGCTTATTGCTGTGGTGGATACGGCCAGCTATTTACCCTCAAGTAGCAGGCTTGCCTCACTCTTCTTTGAAACAATATCTGCCACACACCTACCTCGAACAGCTGGGATAGGGGGCCCAACCACAGGGATGTCACAGACTGCACTTGAAGCATGTCCTGCTTATTCATTTGCAATGTTTCAGGGCATGCGGCATGTCTCACTGTGAGCATCATCACAGTGCTGACAAGGTGCCTCTAGGGACAGAGGTGGAAACATCCCTGTGTCACAAGAACCATCTTAACCTCACCACCTCCCTGAAAAATACTACACCTGTTATCTGCTGGTTCTTGGTAGACTTTTAAAGTCATACTTTAACCTCCAGGAAAACACCTCCAGGATCCCTACACAACTGAGCTGAAAGTCAACTACATCACGTCCTACGGAAAAATGTGAACTATCCTCTAAATTCAAGAAAATTAACCCAGAATTTCCCTTCAAAGCAGAACTCCTTCATGAGTGAAACGTACAAGTACAACAGCCTGGCGACCTGGGTGCCAGCAGAAAGCAAGAAACAGGGGCATCACCTCATGTGCGCCGCACTCCTCTGCAGGGTGGCCTCTGTGCGCTTGTTCTGGTCCGCCGAGAGGCTCACCTTCCAGTAGACGCGGCAGGCTGAGAAGTCTGGAGTCAGCGAGACCTAGACACCAACCACAGGCACACTCTGTTCACAGGCTTCCTCAGACAACCTTCCCGGGATGAAAACCCAGCTCCCTTTAGCCTCCTGCCCAAGAGCAGTGTCCGTGCCCCACAGAGGCCAGCACTGCTGCTACAGAGTACTCTTGGCAGGCAGGAACCCAACGCCCCTTCCCCAGGACTGTCCGCAGCTGGAGCCCTGCACCGGCCTCACAGCCTCTCCTAAGATGCGACTGGAAACACAGAACTGCCCCTTCTCCTCATGGCTCACATCCTCGGAGGGATCAGAGGACCCTCCGTTCTTTATGCCAAGCAAAGGCAGGTGTCTTAACCACACCGCAGAGCCTCCTCAGGCCTTCTTCCAGGACCAGACAGCATGCAGGTGCTGCGGGGTCATGGGTCCCACCCCTGGGTGGCAGCCTCGCTGCCTCTGTGCCCAGCATGGGAACCCCTTGTCTCTAGCACTCCCCACGACTCTGCAGCCCCAAACCAAGGCCTCGAGGGTACAGAGATCAGCTGGGAGAGCTGAACTCCGTCTTCTCTCCTCTGGCCTGCCCTCTACCTTGGAGAGCTCCACATTCAGGTTGTAGACCTCCTGGCTCACTTCAGGGGTGCTCAACAAGTCTGTCAGCGCTTTATAGAGGAGGCCGTTCAGGGCCCGCAGGCGCACATGGTCTTCCTTCCTGGTCCTCTTTGAGGTTCTCTTCAGGAGCAAGTCCAATTTGGAAGGCCTATAAGTCTCCATTAAGAAGAAGAACATGGCCCAAGGGCAGGTTACACCTGTCACCCATCACCAGCTTGGGTTGGGGAAGGGTGCCATCAACGTAAGACAGACAATAGTCACCTCGGTTACTTCAGCTCTAAGGTATGTCTGTTGTTCCCAAGATTAAAACTGCTGCCAGTTTTATTTTTAAAAAATTTTGAGGTATAATTTGGATACCATAAAAACTCACTGTTAAAATGTAAACACAATATATTTTTAACATACATAATGTATTTTTTCTAGTTTGAACCATTTATCATATGAACTTTTGTGGTTCACATACACTAAAAATTTGATGAACACTAAATAATTAAATAACAGGACATTCTAGAAAACGTCAGCAATAGTCAATTTTTATCTGAAATGGTTAAGTCCATCCTAGCAGTCCCACACACACAGATACTACCCTCCAGGACAGATCTGGACAGCCAGTCAGGCAAGAGTTGTGCCTACTGTAAATCTCACCCACCACGACGACGAGGGGGCTGCTTGACACTCACCCAGTAAACCCCAGGGAAGGACCTTCATACCAGAACTTCTTCCTGCAAAGAGAAAGCAAAAGCCACATTGGATAGTGCCAGCAAATTACAAGAGTTGCGTAACCTACCTTAAGAGGGTTCATACCTCAATGGCATGGGGCCCCAAAATGTAGGCAGTTAATGAACAGCATTGTTGTGGAGGCAAGGCAGAAAATAGTCTTAATTCAACTTCATAATTTTGACTTTCAAATTTGCCTACAGTCCTAAGGGTAGAGAAAGAGGACCTTAAAATATCTCCCAAGATGTACATAAACACCACGCCCAGTTGACCAAGTGGTTCCCATGGAGGGCCAGGTTGATGGTTCTGGTACTGCTATGCAATATGCTAAGGCTAGACAACCATAATGGCCAGGGAAAGCCCACTGCTCACTTTTAAAGAGGGAGTTACAGGTGAGCGAGGCTCAGGGGCTACATGATCTATGTGGTGGTGAGCTGGAGCTGGAAGCAGATGATTACACACAAAAACGTTTATGGGTAAGCATCTACGCAAGGGAGCCGTAAGCACATACTTTTTACTTCACAGACACCCAACCCATGGTGCCACTTTACCAGGACCAGGAGTCCTCAGAGAAAGGGTTGATTCTAGGATTGTGGCACAAGAACAGGATAGGTAAGATGAACCTGGCACATCTTGTAGCACTGGAAAGTAAGGATATGCTAAATAGGCACACATGATGGGGGTGTCAATGGTACAGTCGCTGAGAGGGCTCCTAATGGCCACAGTTGGAATAATGAGAGCAAAGTCAAGTCATAGTGGATTATAATCCACAAATCCACACTGATGTGAGTGAATTAACAAATGGAGAAGATATGCATCTCCCACCCAGAATCCCAAGTAGTTTCTGAGCACAATTCTCTCTTCCTTAAGCAGGGACTTCACATACTGACTTCTTCCCAAAAAGGACAGTATGGAAAGTGGAGGAAGAGTCACTGCTCAGGGTAGACACCTGACAAACACCCAGCCAGGTGATCAGCACCTGTGTGGACCACACACACCCTTGATGTGACAAAATCGCCTCTGCAGGCTCATCTCCAAACTCCACAGCCCACACACAACCATGAGGAAACACCAAACAAACCCCAACAGAGGGCACACTACTACTAGTCTAACAGTACTTCTCAAACAGTACTTTGCCATTTTTCTGTAAACGTAAAACTATCTTTAAAGTAGTTTACTAAACAAGACAAGTGATGCAGGCCTGTGATCCCAGCCATGCCAAAAGCTGAGACAGGAGGATCACACGTTTGAGGTCAGACGGGGCATATTAAATAAAACCCTGTCTAAAATGAAGAGTAAACAGAACCAAACAGTAAAACTAAAGTGGGGTGAAGATAAAAATGTCTTACATGGGGGCTGGGATGTGGCTCAGTGGCAGAGCGCTCGCCTAGCATGTGAGGCGTGGGGTTCCATTCTTAGCACCTCATGTAAGTGAATGAATAAAATAAAGGTCCATCAACATCTAACAAAAAACTAAAAATGTCTGACTGTACTCACCTTAACATGAAGAAAACTAATTGAGGCTGGGAATATAGCTCAGTTGGTAGGGTGCTTGCCTCGCATGCACAAGGACACGTTCGTCCCCCACGAACCCGCCACCCGCCGGGGACCTCGCCCCCGCAGCCTCAGCACCGCGCATACCTGGTTTTCGAAGCAAATTTCTTGAGCAAGTTCTTGCTGCCACAGGAGACGGCAGAGCCGTGCAGGCTCCGCGTGCGGTGGAGTGCAGCCTCACCGCAGCCCCGCCGCAACAGCACCCCCGCGCCGGGGCAGCACAGGCCGCGGGCGGCAGCCCACATGTCCGGGAGGACTCTGCCAGCACCGGCGGGCGCCGGAGCCG